AGCTGCAATTTTGATGCAGTTATAGTGGCCTATAACATAAACTAGCACACAGTGTATGCCTTTAGAGCATTATTTAAAAGCAGTACACAAATAACTGTATATCATTATTGCTACCTCCATCATTCAGGAGTGATATGGATATAGTGCTTTGGATCCAGGGTAGCTTTTCTATAAGCAGGAGGGCTCCATCAAACCACAGAGGGACTGAAAATACAAGGAAAGTTTTTATTTAAAAGGGAAGGTCAGGATTATTGTTAAATATTTTTTCTTCCATCTTTGACGTCCCTCCAATGCTATTTTGAAAGATTCTCTTGCTTATGGAAGCAGACAGTGGATAGGAAATGGAATTGATGAAATCTGTTTTCCACCTTTATTAATGGTCCTATCCTTCCATGAGATTAGATTTCCTTCTTCCATTTGGAGCAGTATTAGCATTTAAGATTCAAACATATTACTCTTTCTCATGTCAAATTCTTGATGAGCAATTTCAGAAGTGTACAAAGCTGATTGATTGGAATATTGAAACTTCTCACATTCAGGTGAAAAATTTAAAAATGAAAGAAGAAAACAAGTTACCACAATTACTGAATCCTGGTGCATAATTTTAAGTTTTATTATGTGTGTTCCTTAACCACTAAAAGGGAGCATATGTCCATATTTGGAATTGGCAAAACAGCAGATATTAGAAGACTGGTCCATTCAAAAACTTTAGTGTGTGGAAGATTTTAAGTAATGTGAATATTAATATTAATATTTAAGCATAGGGTTCCCGAGGACAGCTAGACTTTTAAGTATAACACCATTAATTAGCAAGCACGTGGCATAGTTTCAACTCTGTGTTAATGGTTAAGCTTCAAGAGAAATTTCATCAGATAGAACCAGCTGAAGGTTATTGTTTTGTGATTGACAGGTAAAGCAAGGTATATATTTTTGTCTTTGGGCTTTGTAACCAATCATGATTTTAGACATTTGTAGCTCCTTGCTGCTTGATAGGTACACTCTGTTTCCTTACCCACAGAATATTACTGAATGTATCAGAAAATAAATTACATATTTTTCTCCAACATAAACAATGACTTTAAGTTTACCCTGAACTTGTTTGATATGCTGTGAGAAAAAAATAAACAGAAAACATATCATAATGGATGGGAATCATCCATAGACAGAATGAGGCAACCTTTTTATATAATTGGATTCCGGTGAAATGAATGTAAGAGACTGAGAGAAACCATATTCATAAGAGCTGGGCCCCATACATTCTATGGATGTAAGTCTAAGAATTTTAGACTTAAAGCTCACCCAGCATGCAGCTCTGTCCTTTTTAAACCCCCTTCCTTTTTATAAGAATTCTATTCACTGACCTATCTGAGAAATCATTTGTTGTTCAGATGCTTATCATGTACAATTGGTTTCTTATTACAAGAAAAATCATAACAACAATAAGATTACTGCTATATTGTATAAAAACAACTATGTTAAAATGTGGAGTCAGTTAAAATTGGATTTGCAGATGGGAAAAAACTACTGATGGGAAAAATTTTTGTTGTTAAAATGACTATTTTACCCAGAATGCTATTTCTCTTTTAGACTATAGACAAGAGCAACTAAGATAATCAAAGGCCTGGAGACAAAACCATATGAAGAACGGCTGCAGATTTGGGGTCTGGCTAGTCTAGAGAAAAGAAGAATTAGGGGTGACATGATAGCAGTATTTCAGTATTTGAGGGGCTGCCACAAAGAAGAGGGGGTCAAATTTTTCTCCAAAGCACCAGAGGGCAGGACAAAACATAATGGTTGGAAACCGATCAAAGAGAGAAACAACCTGGAATTAAGGAGGAACTTCCTAACAGTGAACAGCTTGCCCTCAGAAATTGTGGGCGCTCCATATCTGGAGGTTTTTAAGAAGAGACTGGACAGTCACTTATCTGAGATTGTATAGGTTCTCCTGCTTGAGCAGGGAGCTGGATTAGAAGACCTCCAAGGTCCTGTGCTGTGCTGTGCTGTGTTAATTTTGATTAAAGGCCTCTCCTTTAAACTATGGCAGAAGGATAGATTTAAATTTACCTGAAAAAAAAATGAAGAATTAAATATAAACTTCTACAAAATGCGAAAGTGGAGGTCTTGGTTTGCCTGATCTTAGACTGTATTATGTTGCATGTTGTTTGGTATGGTTGAAAGACTGGATGACTCTGAGAATTGAAGGCTGTTAAATCTTGAAGGTTTTGATCTGACATTTGTGTGGCTTGCTTATTTATGATATAATAAGATAAAGTTTAACACAGATTTTAAGAATCATTTTATTAGGCAGTTGATGGTTGTATCGGGGTGAAGTATAAAAGAAGACCTTCCGCTAAGATATCATGTGGATATCACCACATGAAGTACTACTATACAGGAAAGAGATGTTAATTGAATCCAAATGGATTACATATCATGACCTATTGTTACTGGAAGAAGAAGAACCTAAAGTAAAAACTAGGAAACAACTAGTAAGTGGTGGCTTTAACTGTGATAGGTTTAATTATCATAGAATATTTGAAAGGTTTAAACTTGATTAAAAAGTTTTGTTTTTGCAGCTGACAAATCTGAATTTGAATGGAATTTAAACTCGGGAATAACCACTTGATTTCTAAAGTTTATAAAATACTACTTAGGATGAACTTGGAAGATGAATATGTTAAGGATTGTATGATAAAATGGGTAAAAAGCCTAGGTTATAATATAACGTTAGATCAATAGGAAAATACGTGGATTAAGGTTTAAAGTTTATTTTGAATTACAGTTTGAAAGAAAAGTTTTAATAAGATAATATATATATTAATGGTATTTGACTCCAGACAGATTGGCAAGAATGTATAATGGAATTTCCAATAAATGTTGAAAATATAATCAAACTCCAGTGGTGGTCTTGTAAACATGCTAAATCAAGCGCAAATATTAATGAAAGCTTTCTTTTATGTATTATTGATATACAGACAAAAAAATAATTTGGAACTTCATTTTTCTATATGATGATAGCTGTAAGAACTGTATATGCCAAATATTGGAAAGAAAAAGGAATACCAACAGTGCAAAAATCTCTTAAAATGCCTCATTATTTTGGATATAATTTTCTTTCCTATTTTCCCATTCAGCTACTACAAGCACAGTGATACCTTTAATGAATGTAATCTACATTCTTTTATAGCCAGCAGCAAATCTTTCATAAAGTTATGGAAAGTATTACTATTAGTCTCATTTCCTCTGTATCTTTTTCTTTTCAAAAAGACTGGCGGACATTTTTTCATTTACATCTAATAAAAGGTCATGCATCTTTAATAAAAAATGAAGCAGAGATTCACTAAGTCAGCTGACAAGTCCCAAGATCAAAGGTTGGTGCTTACAAAGGTGCTCTGCCTTTCTAACACTCCTCAGTGATGATACACGGACTGCATTTTATATGCACTCTATTTAATCAGCAGAAACATCTATTTTAATTTGTTTATAATGTAAATTTTACATCCTGGTATTGTTGGTTTTCCTTTGTATTTTATAGAATACAAAGGATTGTTTCTCTTTTTATTTCTTTCCACACAATTCAAGGTTAAGAATACAGGAAGGGTAATGTTTTAAAATATTACATAATTTCCTATTGCAACTGCCCTTATACATATTTCACTGACACATTATGCATTCAGAAAGAAAATCAAAGGCTTAGTTTAGTGCTGTGTGGTGTGTGTATGTATTTGTGTGTGTATGTGTGTGTGTATGTGTGTTTTTATGAATGTATATACACATACACATACATATATATATATACATGGGAAAGGGAGAGGTCCTATTCACTCACGGCTTAATATGGCTCAGTTGCATAGAATTATACAAAACGTCCTTGGATTCAGCACATATGTTTCATGTGTTAAGACTAGGTGTTGCGATTGTGAGCTGCCCGTGTTAGGCTTCAAGCAAGCAGAATCAATTTAAATAGTCCAGCCATTTTGTTGAAGTGAGTTTTGGGATGAGGATATATAAAACTATATAAAACTATATATCCTTCCCTCTGCTCAAAGAAATGGCTATAGGACTTCAGCCCTTTTTATTCTAACAACATTATCTGTTATCAGACATACTGTAAGATAGTTTGGGCTGGCCCACAGTTACCCAGTAAGTTTCATGATCAATGGAGACTTGATTTTGGCTGTCATTGCCTGAGCAAATACTTAAACTACACATTAGCATTTTTTTCTTTAGGAAGTATCAGCTGAAAAAAAGATGTGTGTATTTGTGTGTATGGATTCCCTACATACATGGGAAAAAAAGTGAGAGAAGAAAAGTTTCCTAGCAGCCAGGAAATGCTTATCAGCAATGCTTCCTTTTTAACTGCTTTCATATTTGTAAACTGTCAAACTTGGCTGCCTCGCCTAATTGGACCTTCCCCCACATGGTAACATTCACTTCAAAGTGCAAACTATAAATGTTTTATAATGTCACAAAGGCTAATGACAACTCTCTCTGAACTTGCAACCTATCTGTATTTATTAGTCATAGTCTTTTGTTTTTGTTTTGTAAATCCTAAACTAGTTCTGAATATAAGGCCTTCTTGACTATGAGATGAGTCTGTGGTATGTGATATGTCTGTGATATGTCTGTGCTTACAAAAGGAAACTACAATTTTCCGTACTGCTTTTTATTATTCTCAGTTAATAATGACTGGAATTTCTGAAAGGGTGATGAGGTCATGGAGTAGTTTCAATGCAAGACACGCTTTCGATTATATTCACATTCAGAATTCACTCTTTTTGATAGCACTCACTCTTTCACATACATACTATTTCATGACACACATAAAATCTTCAGGACAGTCCAACAGCATTTTGAGCTATATTTTAAAGTAATGTCACTCTACAAGCGTCTTCAGCTTTTGATACAGCATTAATTATGAAATGCTCTAAATAGAATATTTTATCAGATAGACAAGCAAACAAACACTTATAAACCCCCAAAGGTTAAGCACTACTTACACAATCTCATCATTCTGAAATTCAAGCTCTCCACAGGTGTCCTCGAAGTCCTCTCCGCCTCCCTTGGCTGTGCCTTCAATTGTTTTGTATGGCACAATAACATTTCCTCGAGCTCCAGATGTCCGTAGCACTTTCACTTCCATGGTCCCCACACTCTCACTTATATGAGTGACTGGTTCCTCAAAAGTAAATATGCCAGCATGATCATCGTCAAAGATTGTAACCGTGGCTGTAGCAGGTGACCCCAGGCATGCCACAGTTGCAACATGGTTGCCCTCTAGAACACCTTCTTCAGATCGTTCTGACACTTTCACATTATTGAGGTGAACAAGGAAATTCTCATCTTCCTCAAATATGTCATCATCAATTATACCAACTCTTATTTCTTTTTGTGTCTCACCTGGCTTGAATACCACTGTCCCTTCAGTGAACTCGTAATCAGACCCTGCATTGGCTGTACCATCTTCTGTTCTGAAATCAACCAAGACTGTTTTGGTCAAATCACCACCTCTACGGGCAATTGTTAGAGCTACTGTGCCACAGTTCTCAAGGCACTGGTAGGTGCTCTGCTCAAAATAGATCTTACTGACAGGGTCATTGTCTGCCACTTCACAGTTGACTTCATGCATGCTGACTGCTTTTCGTGCTTGGTCAGCTGCATGTCGCTTCAATATGTTGCCAGCTCCAGTCATTAACCGAGTAGCCTGAATGCGATAAAAGGCGCGACTCTTTTGTTGCTGACTCAGAACTTGATAATTAGCTAGTTCTATTAGCTGTTCAATCTCTTTGTCTGGATGCTTCTGTTTCAATTCCTTCAGGATTCTAGCCATTTCTCTCCTTGCTTCTTCATCATCTTGATCCTTCTCATCCACCTCTAGGACCAGAGTGCCATCCAAGAAACTTTCAACATGGGAATTAACTATCTTTCCATCCATTTCAATATCAGCCTTAGATTGCGGCCCTTCACCCTCATGTTCAATTATCATGCCTCTCTGCTTTCCAGCTCTGTACTTCTTGTAGACATACTTGTAGAATAAAAGCCTTCGATCAGCAACCCATGCAAACACGACACAGATAGGAAAAAAGAAGAAAGTGAGTAAACTTTCCCAGACTTCTACTACTCCAGGTGATATAACTGACAAAATTAAATACAGCCAAGTATAGGCAAAAATGCTCCAAGCTGCAGTGACAAAAAACACACGAAGATGCTTAATCTTCCTGATTTCTCCATCAGGAACAACATAAACACAAATGGCTATAATGACAAACATATTAAAGGCAGCACTTCCTACAATAGTGCTTGGTCCAAGGTCTCCTGCCTTGAAGCCATGGCCACACACTTCAATGACAGATAGGAGGATCTCAGGTGCAGAAGAGCCCAAAGCCATCAATGTTAAGTTCGATACAGTTTCATTCCAAACTCTTACTGTTGTCTTGCTGGTCTCACCGTTGGGTTTCTTGATTGTTATCTCTCTCTCTTGGGAAGTAATAACTTCTATGGATGACATGAAACGATCTGCTATAATAGACACTCCTAGAAACATGTAGACCATGGCCACAAAGTATACAGTAGCTCTTGCTATTTTATCACCAAATGAAGGATCTTGAGGTTCCCAAATTGGCAAAATTACACCTTTCTTACAGAAATAGGTACCAGAACATTCTTCTGAATGATTGGTTTCTTCAGGTTGATGTTCTGTATGTACTTTGTCCACATGGCATATCAAAAATGCAACAATTAAAAGGAGAAGACCACCAGGCAAGGCAGTTGAATTCCTTAATCCCATCATGATTGTTCTGTCAGACCAATTTTCAAAGGTTTTCTAACCTGCAAAATACAAAAATGTGAAATATATTACCAACATTCAACTGAAGAAAGCTAGAGCTTTTTTCTTTCTATAAGGTTCACCGTTTTACATAATCTTTTACCTTCTAGGAAAAAAAATCCTGAATTTACAAAACTGAAGTCCATAAAGTAATTTTCAATTGCTGAATTATATTTTTAAATCTATAGATCTACTCTCAAATAATAGTTTTCTATTCAACTTGTATTCAGATTAAAGTCATTGAAACAATGGTATAGGTTAATGGTATAGGCATAATGGTGAAGACACAACTATATCATTGCTGAAATTGTATTTTCTGTTTTATAAATAAATAAAATACAATGCCATATTCAGTAACGTGTATCATACAGAATAGTTACGTATAGTGTTTCTAAGATGTGTGGACTTCAACGCCCAGCGTGGCTGGCTGGGGAATTTTGGGAGTTGAAGTCCATACATTTTAAAGTTGCTAAGGTTGAGAAACACTAGTCCAGCTAGATGTGACAAAGCTTGAACTGTTTTCCATACTGTCTAGATACGTATGGAAATCCCCAGAGCAAGCCCAAACTTTCTTTCTACAATCATTCTCAGAATTATTTATTTCTATTCTGTGCATTATATCTTTTATCTACTAACTGATCCATAACAAGTATTTCTCTTTTATATCATGACCGTTAGTGTTTGCTTAGGAATATTTAGGAAAAAATAATTAATTTTTTTTGAAAAGTCTAAGTAAACAGTATTTTATTTTTAATAATATTTTCCCAGATTTCATCAATCTGAGACTTGAAATCATTCTTACGTAAAACTTACAAATGCATAAACTTCCATGGTTAAAGCATTAACATTGGAAACAGGATCAAACCACTAGACATACTTGGGGTTCAAATCAGCAGCCCAGTCCCATAGTCCTTTTATCGAAACAATATGCCTTCTTACAATTCAGACATGAAAGGGAATAAACTGATTTATTTATTTAGGATATTTATAACCTGTCTTGAGCTTTCTCAGGAAAAGTAGCAAAGAAATACAAAAGCTAAAAATAGAAGGTAAAAAATCCTAGATAAAAATAAAATTCCATGGAAATGTAAAGACACATCTCAAGGCAAAAATTAAAACATATTTTAAGAGTTCTGATTTCAGAGACCTCACTGAAGCTTTCAAGTAAGCTTCTTGGGGAATAGCAGGGGATCGCATCAATTCCCAGCATTGTTGAGCCAAGGACTCACTAGGACCTTTTTTAAAAAAATAAAATAAAAAAGTAAAGTAAAGTAAAGTAAAGTAAAGTAAAGTAAAGTAAAGTAAAGTAAAGTAAAGTAAAGTAAAGTAAAAAAGTAAAAGTAAAAGTAAAAGTAAAAGTAAAAGTAAAAGTAAAAGTAAAAGTAAAAGTAAAAGTAAAAGTAAAAGTAAAGTAAAACAAAACAAGACTCTGGACACATTGTCACATCCTCCTATTACAAATACCTCTAGTCCCTACTCTAGGTAGTGCTCTTTACCAGATCCAACTCTGAAAGAAGCACTTGTCAAGGCAGGTATTCAATCGCCTTTCTATTGCAATGTATTTGTACTTCCACTTGTTAACTTGTTATAGATTGCTCACAACAAAGAGAGACAGACTCTCATTAATAAAACTGGAAGCAGAAGTAAACACACCTCCCTGGCTGCAGCATCCACAGATTCTTTTGTTGGAATGTCCAAAGCACTTTCACACTATTGATGCTTGTTTTTATCTAATTTGTAAATACTATTTTGTATTTTTAAATGGTTTATACAATATTTTATATATTTTATAAAATGTTTACAAACATTTATAAAGGTTTGCTTTTTATAGTAGGCTTTAATTAACTTTACACTGCAGAGGCCTTTTTGATGCATAGCATAAAATTAGAATAAATAAATAAACAAGTATGACGTTACATGTTTCTTATATACTGTAATTAATCTACTGAGGTAGTTATAAAGAACGATCATGTCAGTAAGGTCTATTTTGAGCATCAATAATGATAATGAATACAGCATGAAATCACAGTGATAAAATAGCAATTAGAACACTAACATTCTAATCCATTAAAATGACTTTTAAAAGACCTGAAAATAAAAATAAAAAAGGCCTTTGTCTAATATTTCAAAAAGAGTAATACAACACTAGTGTTCGCAAACAAGGCACCACAATCAAAAGATTTTCTCTCTGCTTGAAATGAAGCTATGGGTATCCTAATTCATAAACATGGGAGAAAATATTGCTTCACATAATGTTATTATTTATTATTATTTATTTTATTGTTTAGACCTCTGTGCCTCCCATCTGTTCTAGAAGCAACTAAGATTAATTTTGTGTAAGACATTTAAATAAACTGTTGGTTCCTGGAGAAAAATGGTAGAAAAATCTAACTATTACTACTGCTGCTGCTGCTGCTGTTAGTACTACTACTGCTAATTATAATTATAGTGGAATTTTTGAATTACTGTAGACTGAGAAGTTCAGATGGCAAGTGCAATGGAGATTAGTATTGAATAATTTTAGTCAGCAGTTTAACTGCCAGGCTTTGAAGAAGCTGATTCAGGATCATTTCCTAAAACAGTCCCAAATATAATAATACATTACAATAGTCAATACGGAAATTTAAGAATATGAACAATTGTTATAAAACTCTATTTTGTTAGAGGCACACTTGGTATATCAGCTTAAGCCGATAAAAGGCGCTCCAAGCTCCTGAGGCAATATCTGTTCCTTAAGTGAAGCACAACTACTTTTGGAACAGGATAAACATTACTTACGTGGATAGGCAAACCACTCACAAAAAGGATTATTTCCATCTTCTTTGGATTGAATCTCAGTTGATAAGCTCTCATTACCCTGCCCAGGTACTGATTCAGAACTTCTACTGTCTCATCTATATTAGATGAAATGGAAAACTAAAGCTGGGTGTCACCTGCATATTTGGTGACACTCCACCCCTGTCCTTGATAACCTCCTACATAGGTTTCATGTAGATGTTAAAAATAATGCAGTCTTAAACATAATCACAGGCCTAAGGATAGTCACAATGCAAATCAGTAATCCTTCAGCACCCTCTTCTCTAACTGGCCATTCAAGCAAAAGCAGAACTAGAAAGGTTCTGTCCTAAATGGTTTTTCTGTCCCAAAAGAAACCATGGTCAACAGTATGGACAGAGATGTCTAAGACACTGAATCAGGTTATACGCCTCTTGTCCCTTTCCCAGGGTAGGTCATCCAACATGAAAACCAAGCAAGGCAGTTTCTGTTACAAATTAGGCCTAAAACCAGAGTAAACAGAATCTATGACTTCTGTTTCATTGAAGTGTACTCAGTGTACACTCAGTGCTGATCAGCAAGCAATTGCCCAGGGACCTTGCTCATCCTAGAAAACAGCTCTGGGAGTCACAAACCAAGTACCTCTGGAGGCAACCTTAGTCTTAATATAACATTTTAAATATTACTCTCTACTGAGTACACAGTTTCTTTGCAACGAAAGTAAAAACGGCGAGATAGGCTGCAAATATATTTAACAAATAATAAAATACAGCGGAGTTTAAAAGTTTATGAATCATTTTGAACTTACCATGTTTCTGCATAAACAACATAAATTGTGATCTCTCCCACATGAATAAACAAGTATGTTTTCAATTCATTTGTTTAATTGGGTTCTCTTTAGTTAAGAGGACTTGTGTGGAAAAGCGATCACATTTAGATCATATTTGGTAAAAATATGATTAGATCATATTTAGGTAAAAATATTGAAAATTCAAAAGTACTCACAAACTTTTAAGCACTACTGTATAATAAAGGAATTGGTTTTACCTTTCTGGCAATTCTGTGAAAGTAAATATCTACGTAGTTCTGCACTTATTTTTAATGTGCTTGATAGCTCTTCTTGTTCATACTGCAGGCAGCATTAGCAAAATTTGCTGACCAAAAAGAAGTTGCTTACTTCCTTTGCTTGGTGAGAGCAGGAGGTGTTAATAGATGCCATCTGTGGCATCACTTAACTATTATTTATGCAAATTGTGGCATTAAAAGTGGCTTGGGAATGGCACTTTCCTGACAGGCTCAAAATACACAGACGACTGAGGAAGCTAATTTTTGCTGACAAAAAGGGCTCTTCCCAACTAAAGTTAAAGTAAAGTTAAAGTTACAATGTTAACTTAGGCTCAGGGGACAATGAATAGATTCACAAAACAGAACTACAGAAGGGGCAAAGTAAGAGGTGTCCATGGATGCTATCTTTGGCATTTCATTAGTTACACAAATTGTAGTGTGAAATCTGATTTTTAAAAAGCTGGCTGTTGGGAACTTGAGATTGCAATTGAGCAGCAAGTTTTTGCTTTATGCTTAACAAAGAGGGCAATCTAACTTACAGCACTTAATTAACACAGCTCATGGGGCAGCCCATACAAGAAAAATATACAAAAGTAAAACTGTAGCAAAGGGTCAGACCCAAGGAGTTACTGTGGGTGGGACTACAGCAGGGGTGAAATCCATCAGGTTCTGACAGGTTCTGGAGAACCGGTAGCGGAAATTTTGAGCAGTTCGGAGAACTGGCAAATACCACCTCTGGCTGAGCCCAAAGTGGGGTGGGAATGGAGATTTTGCAATATCCTTCCCCCAGGAGTGGGGAGGGAATGGGGATTTTGTAGTATCCTTCCCTTGCGACGCCCACTAAGCCACACCCACAGAACCGGTAGTAAAAAAAACAGATGGCAATAAGCCAGTCCATTAAATCCAGAGTTTAATATAAAATATCAATACATGTTTATATGGGGGTGGGGGTGTTAAATTATAGCATTCACTGCCATCTTAAAACTTCTTCCTCAGCAATTTCTATTTGGATGAAGCTCTGAAATCAAAACTATATCCTAAATTTACTGGGAGGGAAACTGGGAAAATATAAGGAGCCTACTTTCTTTTGCTAATGATAAATCTCCAGCATTCTACTTTATATTAAATTAGCAAGACACAAGTTGGGTTCCTCTGCTTTATG